CATAGACCTTTGGCCTAAGGTGCTCTGGTACCACGTACACTTATGAGCATCCCTATGTACAAACATGGTGTTCGTTATGGACATATAAAACAGTGCTGTGCATTATATCTGAAGGCTGCCTGAGCAGAATTGACAGAGGAGTTCATTATACATTGTCGTAATATGTGATACTGCTTTGTCTTTCAAACAAAAGCACCAACAAAAATGACCTGCAATAGTTTCTGTGAAAAGAAGCAGGATGACACATTTCTTAATAATAAGCTGAATTTAGTTTTTTGAATCTTTTTTTTTTTTTAGTATTTATTCATACAAGGATTTTTGAATGTCTTATTTGTTAATGTGCTATTCTGCCCTAGAAAGGCAAAATACCTTAACTTGCCAGAGTGTAGAACTGAAAAAATGGTTTTAAAGTGTTTTTGTCGTCCAGCTAAATGAACTGCATGCAGAATATTGGAAATGGTAGTATAGTAATAGTTGTGAGGTCCAATTTAACCTTTGACCCTTTTTCAGAAGATAAGGTAGTCTGCCTCTGCATTGTCTTAATATTAATAATAATAATAATAAGGGGTGCTGCCAAGGTAAACCAAATTAACTTCCGTTTCATCACTTACTTGGTCAACTGATCACAATATAAAATCAGTATATGATAATATTGATAACATCTACATAAAATCTAGTCATCAATGCACAATTTGGCTAGCAGTTTGGTTTTACCAAGCGGTTAGCCTAAGCTAGCTAGCAAAGAATTATAGTAGATTGTCTATTTATCTCTGTCTGTCTGTTAGCCTAAGTAATCTTTTTCGTGTCATTTCTCCATCTCCACCAACCCCAAGAGCAACGGGCCATTCCTTACATTTAGCTGCAACACTGTCTGCTTTAGAACTTTACTCAAGCTACTGTGTGTGTGGGTGGGTGTCAGAAATGCTTCAGTGACACATATTAATGATGAACTCACTGAAGTTACAGTATTATGCCTGTGTATTACACAGGCATAATACTGTAATACCAGGGCCAGGTACTCCTTGCACCACTGCCTTTGTTTAGTCAAAGTGAAGTTACTGTTTACTACGCTTAAGACAAAGTACCTTAACTCAAATTGAGTGTTCCAGAGTACTGCAAAACAAAGACAACAAAGAACCGTCATTATAGTTAAGGTATTCTGCCTTGGTTTTTCTGGGGGTTTTGGAAGTTACGGCAAAGACAACCCACTGTTTTATCATGTCCACATGTCCAAACTGTTTTATCATGTCCACATGATAAAACAGGTGTTGAATGACATAAAAAAATGTCAATAACTAATTTTCGACCAAAAATTAAGGCTTCTTGCCTTGCACAGCAGTATTGAAAACATTGTTTCCATAGCTACAATCCTTTTTCTAGCAAATGTGAAATACAAAAAGTCCATTCAGCAGACTGTCAGCATGAGGTATAGACAACAAACTGTCACCCAGCTGGAAGCAGGGAGAATTTTGTCATTCAATGGATTCAGTGAAATACTAGCTTTACTGAGATTTAGACTTATTAAACAATTTTAAATATTAAATAATGTAAAGTCCTGTTTAAACAACACATTATTCATGCACAGTTACATATCGTACTCTTACTGAAAGACACTATAAAAAATGCTTTTTGCTTTCAGACTCCAGGTTTTCAGTCTTTCAGTGATCTATTTTCCCTCTGTGGTTTGCTTTAAAACCCACCCTGTGTTCCAGCCGGCAGGAATCAATGGTCCATTTGAAATGCTAATGGTTTGCTGTCACACATTCGTGCACCTGTCCTAATTTCATCAGAGTGGCGTTAAATCAATGCAGTGTCTTCTTCTGCGATACATGATTAATCAACATTGTTCGCACTCATCACAGCTAGGGAACTGCAGCCCGTAAAGGGTGTAATAAAATGTCCAGTGTGGGAGGCCAACCCCAGTAGTGTCATTAGAGTACACAGGATATTTAAACCACAACATTTCCTCTCGCTGAGTCTTTGGAGTGACTGTGTCATTCCAATCTATAACATTGATCCACTTACAAGATGTGACCTATCTCTGAGTCATGTTCCTCATGACCTTTGACCCCTGAGCCCCTCCTACAAACCTTCTTTATTGTCATTGTTTCCCAAATGGTCATCCTCTAAAGCCTGATATGCCTTCTTCCTCTGTGCCACGTTCCTTCATCACTATACACACACACACACACATCGTAGTTTATCTATACACTGTCCTGCGGCCCCAAATATTTATATTTGGAACCAAATGTGGAGCTAAAAATAGTCCCCGACAAATGCACCATTTCCTCTTGTTTAAGTAACATTTTCAAATTACAGAGCCTTTTTTTTTTCTTTCTTTCACAAAACTGAAACTTAATATTTGTGAGCCGCTTTTAAAGCTTTATATCTTCAAATATGTGTGAAGATACTTTTAGCAACTGAAAGAGTAGGAAAGTATTGAGAGATGGTCTTGTTTTTTTTAACTATAGACTTTCACCAAGCTTTCACCAACCAAAAAGCTTGGTGTGGAATGATGTGGAAGCTGTTATCTTATGGAAGAAAAGTTACATAATGTTGCTTTAAGATAGTATTTTAGATGCATTTTGTATCTGTTCCTCTCTCATGTCAGATACATGATATTTGCTTATATCCCTGTGGGACTGTCCTCCCACCACTGCTTCACCCCACCCTCCTCTTCCCTTTACAGCAGCACACAAACCCTCCTCCACACACACACACTAAGTCCC